GAAGTCCGCCATCCTAAAAGCATGGCTGAATGACTGTCAACACCTGGAGACACCTTGACTAACTGACAGCTTCCTTTTTAAACCAGACCTTGCCTCGACTGACTGCACATTCCTGCCTGGCCATGTGCCTCACTCCTGCCTGTTACACAGCTGGGTCCACATCCTGCACACCACAACAGAAAAACCCCAGAAGAGCTCCACTGAGAAAACTGACTTTGTCATTGGCCATTGGAAATTCAAAGATTTTCAGTCCCTGAAGTCACACTCAGCTAGACTCTCCATATAGCCCTTGGAGATCCAGGCACATCCTGAAGGCACTTTGTCCCAGCCTGACAACACTGCATAAAGGCAGGCTTGCTACATACCACTGGGAGCAGGGCCCTGCAGAAAAAAAGCAGGAGCTACTCAGGGATATTGGTGGATGAAAATTGGACGAGCCAACAATGTGCGCTTGCAGCCTAGAAAGCCAATCAGATCCTGGGCTACATCAAAAGAAGAGCGGCGATCAGTTCAAGGTAGGTGATTCTGCCCCTCTAACTCCACTCTTGTGAGATCCCACCTGGAGTACTGCTTTCAGCTCTGGGGTCCCCAGCACAAGAAAGACATGGACCTGGTAGAGCGGGTCCAGAGAAGACTCCTGAAAATGATCTGAGGTCTGGAACACCTCTCCTGTGAAGAAAGGCTGAAAGAGTTGGGGTTGTTCAGCCTGGAGTTTAGAAAGGTTCAAGAAGACCTTCTTGTGGCCTTTCAATACTTAAAGGGGGCTTATAAGAAAGACAGAGAAATACATTTTATCACAGCCTGTAGTGACAGGACAAGAAGTGATGGTTTTAAAATAAAAGAGGGTAGCTTTCAAATAGATATAAGGAAGAAATATTTGACAATGAGGCTGTTGAGACACTGGAACACGTTTCCCAGAGAAGTTACAGATGCCCCACCATTTGAAGTCAGGTTGGATAGGGCTTTGAGCAACCTAATCTCATGAAAGATGTCCTTGCCCACAGCAGGGCTGTTGGACTAGATGATCTTTGGAGGTCCCTTCCAACACAAGCCATTCTATGATTCTACCTAATCCTTAACCTGTTGCTGCCAGAGGATACTGCCTTTACAGTTCAGGTATTACAACTTCCCTGGGAACGGGAGGCCACAGCTCCCTCCCAACCTGATGGGAGAAAACCCTCAGCTCTCATGTCCTGGGAGAGGTCTCAGATATCTCTAGTCCTCCCATGGTCTTCTTAACCCTGCATTCTGATCTGTGAAGACCCTCCTGTCCCCTCCTTGTCCAGGACTAATAACCCACTGGGCTGCTGGACACCACATGGCATCCCAGTGCCTCAGTTTGGAACAATTTTGGGTCCCAGACTGGGGCCCAGCCACACGAAACGTGGGTGCTACAATGTCAGAACCCTTCTTGGAGCAAGCTCTTCATACACATTGTAGTGCCTGATGCTGGATATTACCTTGGCTCCCATGCATCATTTTTCTAACCTTGTCCCAGTGTCCCTGACCTCTTTCCATGACTCCCTTACCAAAATGCCAGTAACCAGGAGAACAGTTTGTTCAGATCTGACAACATTTAACGCAGCTCAAGTGACAGTGCCCTTTCCCTAAAACTAGATGAGTCATTCTCCAGGACTACCAGCAAATTCCTCTTTCTCAGAGTATCAGGACTTCCTGCCATGTCTAGTGTTGTGATGTAGGCAGCACTATCTTGATAGCTTTTGTTGCAGGAACTGCATGAGTGTATAAATATGCAAGGTTAGGTGCTGGGAGTTGTGGGTAGGGAAGGGCTGAAAGGGTCTTTGCTTTTTTCCTGGTTGGTGAATTTGACAGTGGGACCATGCACAGGGGAGGCAGGCTTTAGCTGAGTCTGTGGTTTGTTTAAGTTAGAGGAATTGGAAGGAAGTGCTGTGTATTGATGAAGAAAATTAAGACTGCAAGTCTCTTTACCTGCATTGTCTTCTGGATATGTGAGCTGTGCTATGGGATGGTGGAAGGGCTCTGGGATTCTGCAGGAGCAGAAATTTCTGCAGGAATGGAAAAAATCTTTGTTCATATATAGACTCTGTAGTGACCTGTAACCACTCCTTGTTGAAAAGGGCTACGAACATTCAATGGCATAGGTTTTTACAGGCCCAAATCTTTACCCCAGCAATTTGCTTTATGTATGTTACAGATTGACAGGTCAGATTTGGTAAAAAGACATAAGAAAGATCTGAGATCCTTTCCTGAATTGCCAATATGGGTACTTTCTGATGAATTAAAACACCATCAAGAAAAGAAAGGAGCATCTATTTTTCAGCTGCACTTACCTACATCACAGAAATCACAGCATACCTTATGACATCTTCCTTTAGTATGAATTCATGCACAGGCTTATAACAACACTTCTTGGAGAATCACACTTATTTTTTTTGCAATTTCAAGTGTACAGATTGCAAGGGTGCATATATGGTCTTCTTTATACATCAGAAGTGACCTCACACCTCCCTCTGAGACTCCAACCTAGTAGTTCAGCCAGACCCCTCAGCTGCCGGTTGCTAAGACCAAATCTTTGTCTCTTGGCTAGTCGTTTTGCCATGTCTGTGACTCTAAGGCACCAGCACTATCACACTGAAAGACCCACATTACTCCTCTACTTTCAGAATTTTACCAACACACCCGCCAAATGCTTTTAGTAATACTTAGTTCCCTCTTAGTGACCTACTTAATGTATTTGTCTTAGGCATTTCTTATAAGCTTCACACCATCACATGGGGAAGAGAAATGTTTTCATCCCCATTGTACAGCTGGGATAGCCACAGCACAGACATACCAAGCAATCCACCCTGGGTCATACAGTGAGTCGGTGGGAAAGCCAGCAATAGAATCCATAAGTCCTGCATCCAAGTTCTCCAAGTGCCTTGACTAGTCCAGATTCCCTCCTTAACACCCTTGTCAAATTATTTATAGGAGACATATTCATATAGTCAGTAAGACATCAAAATTTTCTAATTATATCTAGTAATGTCAAATGACAATTATGCCCTTAGTTCAGTTTGCCAGACAATGCTTTGCCAAAGAAGGTTTGCCAAAAATTTTTTGACCGAAGAAAGAGTAGGCATCTGTAGCATCTGCAGACTAGATCGTATAAAACGTCCCTGTGACGAGTCTGCCCTGTCTCCACAGAAAGCTTCAAGGTAAGTGTACGGGGTCCGCAGGCTTGCAGGAAGGGGATAGTGCCCTTGTGTACCACAACATTCCTGCTGCCTCCAGCACTCATTTCCAGGAGAGCACTGAATTTCTCAGGTCAGGTTTTAAATCTGCTTTCAAGGCACCTGCACATTTTCACCCTGGATTTCTGAGCAGCAGCAAGTAAGGAGGTGCTATTTGTCTTTTACAGTACTGACCAGCTGCCAGCCTGCAAGCCACCCATCTGGTGTCACGAGAGGTAAGAATCTGATTTATTAATTCTTAGAGGGCAGAGAAAGATCCTTTTGGGTGGATTTCTCTACAGCTGAGTAAATGGTCACTGTTTCACCCTATATTTTCAAGTCAATGTGGTCCCAGTAGAAGGTGCTGGGGTGCTCAAGGCTGGTAAGGTTTTCAAGTGAATCATGGAATCATAGAACAACATAGATTGGAAGGGGCCTTGAAAGATCATCTGGTGCAATCTTTAAGTGGCTGTGTTTGAAGCCTCTGACCCACACAGACCAGAAAATCCCCATGGGCACATTCTTCACTTCTGTTTAACTGACCTAGCAGGGATTGAGGCGTGTTGGTTTCCCATCTTTGCTGTCACAGCAGTAGAAGTGGACCAAGATGAGCACAGGAGGAGGAAGTGCAAAATTAAACATTTTGTCTCAGAGCGTGTAAATTTATGTATAATTTTGTCCAAAATTTGCCATGAAATCACTAAAGAAGTCAGAGTAGAAGCAGCTGTAATATGAGCAACCACACTCTGCTTGTCATCTCTGTAAAACCCAATGCTGCTGTTTGTTCCCCTTACTGCTCTGCCTGTCCTTTACCCCTCAAAAAATGGAAGCTGGAGCCCTCCTCTTCTGTAAGCCACCACCTGTTCCTACAGGGACAAATAAAGAATTATCATGTTACTGTCTCATTTTAGTACAAATATAACAAAATATTAAAGGCTGTGTAAATATTAGGTACCTATCTCTATACAGGATAGAAATAAATTAATTATTTCCTAAGCTGCCCACTGTTTTTTCCGAGGGAGGGAGAAAAAAGTAATTTTTCAGAGAAAGTAATACTGGCTTTAGAATTCTGTTTTTGGTTTTGTTTTTTTTTTTAAATTCCTGAGTTGAGCTTTGAATCTTTGTGTTTAGCTTTGTTTTCTCCTGAAAACATATTAATTTTTAAAGAAAAAGAAAATAATAGAAATAGAGCAATGTCAGTGTGTTCTGGAACAGCACTACTTTTCTCTTGACAGGCATTGTAGCCATTTATGCCTGGATTCAAGAACTCACTAAAATTAGCAAATAATTGTATCATTAATACAATAATATAAATGTTTTAGAGATAAAAATGAAGCCATTACGATGCTTGAGTTGTCTCTGTGCCACTCAAGACAGTAGTGTATGGGCCTTCTGATCTTTCTGAATTAGTATCACCTGGGAAGAAACTGCATTATATTAAAGAGTACCTAAGCAACTGAAAGGAATTTTGAGGTTCTCAACTTCACAGTACAGTGCTTAAGTGCTTGACTACTATGTAACTTATTTCAAATGCGATTTCAGTGCAGTAGATCCTAAATCAAACTATCTTCCAAAATACAATCTTCACATTTTCCGTAAATGTTGAATCACGCCACTGCAAAAATATACAATTACTTCCAAAAAAGCTATGAATAGCATTAATGTAGTATTCTTTTTTTTCCACATCTTTTCTTCTACTAGCAAGTGCTTATTTTTTGACACATTTGAGCAATATCTTTGCTCATCCACACTGTTCTCTGCTGACGAACCCCTTCATCAAGTGCAGCCATGTCATCAGACTCTGAGATGGCCATCTTTGGGGAGGCGGCTCCTTACCTCCGAAAGTCAGAAAAGGAGAGGATCGAGGCCCAGAACAAGCCGTTCGATGCCAAGTCATCCGTCTTTGTGGTGCATCCTAAGGAATCCTTTGTGAAAGGAACAATCCAGAGCAGAGAAACAGGGAAGGTCACTGTCAAGACTGAAGGTGGAGAGGTGAGTAAGAAACAAGGCTGAAGGTCACCATTTGATTTCCACTCTCAGCTCTTAGCTGACGTACATGCATCTCCTTCTTCATCTGACAGACCCTGACCGTGAAGGATGATCAAATCTTCTCCATGAACCCTCCCAAGTATGATAAAATCGAGGACATGGCCATGATGACCCACCTCCACGAACCCGCTGTGCTGTACAACCTCAAAGAGCGTTATGCAGCCTGGATGATCTACGTAAGTACCAGCAGCAGTCTTCCTTTGGGTAGCGAGGAGGAACTGCTCTGCCAGGCTAAGTGGAAGCCAACGTGGTGTCTCCCTTCCTTGCAGACCTACTCGGGTCTCTTCTGCGTTACTGTCAACCCCTACAAGTGGCTGCCGGGGTACAACCCGGAGGTGGTGTTGGCCTACCGAGGCAAGAAGCGCCAGGAGGCCCCTCCACACATCTTCTCCATCTCTGACAACGCCTATCAGTTCATGCTGACTGGTGAGTGACTCTATCTGTCTCGGAGGGATTGTACCATGAAATTCTCTGAAGGGATACTCGGTCTTAGTAATATGAGGAGACTTTTTCAAAGCTGTCATGGTTCTCATGCATACATACTATTGGAAGTTTTACTATCTTCACATCATTGTTTCTAGTATTTTGAATGAAAGACACACCTGCACTCAGTGAGGTGTTGTGGAGGGTTTTTCTGTTTTTCTTTAAATTAAGCTGACATCACAAACATAAAACTTACCTGACTACGTTTCATTCCTTCTGTGTTGTTCATTGAGTTTTAAGTACTATATTTCTGCCTCTCTCACAGATCGCGAGAACCAGTCGATCCTGATCACGTATGTACACCCCCTGCTTGGGTCCCCGCAGGGCTGCCCAGTGCCAGGGGACCTCCTGCCTGACCACACGCTCTCTGCTTCTCTCTTTGGCTTGACAGCGGAGAATCCGGTGCAGGGAAGACTGTGAACACAAAGCGTGTCATCCAGTACTTTGCAACAATTGCAGCGAGCGGGGATAAGAAGAAGGAGGAGCAGCAGTCAGGCAAAATGCAGGTAAATTAATAGACACTGACTTGAATGAATGTTTTTTCCTTTTCTTGAAATGATTTTTGGAAGGATAACCAGCAATAATTATCATCCTACAGGGAACGCTTGAGGATCAAATCATCAGCGCCAACCCACTGCTGGAGGCCTTTGGAAATGCCAAGACCGTGAGGAACGACAACTCCTCACGCTTTGTAAGTTCCTTAACCAAATGATTCCTGAAAAATAGTACACATGAGTGCATGGCAGTCATTCTTTTCTGTTGTTCAGCCACTATGTTTTCAAGAGTAAGAGTGGATTTTCTTATCCTGGCTTTACCACTTATCTTAAAGGTAATTCTCCAGATTTCAAAAACAGGTATTCTATGAAAAAAAATTAATTCTTCTTTGGATTGAGATGGAAATTAAAATAACAGATCACATACTTTTCCTCCTGTAAGGTACTGCAATGTTAAACAATAGTATTTTTTTCTTTTTATTTCTATTTCCTGTTAGTTTGCTAAAAGACAAGACAATGTTGGGAAGAAAGGGAGGGAGGTTAGGAAAGATGGGAAAGAAAGAGCGAAAAAGAGAGATAAAGACAGAAAAAGAAGAATGAAAGAAGGAGAGAAAGAAAGAAAGAAAAAGAAACAGAGCGAGTGGGAGGAAGAAAGAGCTTCTACTTGAATAATATGTTTGCTTTACGTTAAACTTAATCAATCAGAAGTGGCTTATTTGATACCAAGACAGATTTAAGCCGCTGAGCTAGTTAAATGGCTATTTCCCGATCATTAAGATGACTGCTCTCTCTATACAGGATATAGTTAGAAGAATTTGGCTAAGGAAATCCACCCATTCCTTCTAATTTGTACATTCATCATACATAAAATGGATAGCTGTACCACTGTTGATTATTTTTATGCTCAAAAATGTAAAAGACAACTTTACATCAACGTTGGAATTATAGCTGATTCACAAGAAAATGTCTCTAAGTAGAAATCTTGTGCCCAGTGGATTAAATGCAAAACTCTTCATTTCAGATATATTTTTATGATGTAAATCTTAAGACCCTTTTATTCCTTTAAAGGGCAAATTCATCAGAATTCACTTCGGTGCCACAGGAAAACTAGCTTCTGCTGATATTGAAACATGTAAGACACTTTACTGAACTGTTCACAATCCATCCATTCATCCATCTACTCAAACAACACCTTTTCACGCAACAATCTACCCTGCCTTCCCTGTTTTTCTTCCCATCTTCTCCCTACTTTCTTTTTTTGCTGTGTCTTCTTGTTTCTAATTAAATTTTCCCTCCAGATCTGCTGGAGAAGTCCAGAGTCACTTTCCAGCTCAAGGCAGAAAGAAGCTACCACATATTTTATCAGATTATGTCCAACAAGAAGCCAGAGCTAATTGGTAGGAAGAATGACTAACTTGGAGGAAGATTGCTGAATATCCCCTCACATTATTACTTGCTCGACTAAACTGAGACTGCATGTCCACTCTTCTTACTTTCAGACATGCTCCTCATTACCACCAACCCATATGACTACCAATTTGTGAGTCAAGGTGAGATCACTGTTGCCAGCATTAATGACCAGGAGGAGCTGATGGCTACAGATGTAAGTAACAGTTAAAAATGTTGTACCTATTGTCACCTCTCCCAAACAAAGCTTTCATTTTATTGTTCCTGTTGCAGAGTGCCATTGACATCCTGGGTTTCACTGCTGATGAAAAAACGGCCATCTACAAGCTGACCGGGGCTGTCATGCACTATGGGAATCTGAAGTTCAAGCAGAAACAACGAGAGGAGCAGGCAGAGCCCGATGGCACAGAAGGTATCAGCAAAGTCTGTGGTTAACCTGTTAGAAACAGAAGTATAAACAATGATTCAGTATTTGGAAGATTCAGAAAGAGAACAGTGGAAATGTGTAAAAAGTATTTAGGTAGAGCTAGTATACAGTTATGAAACTGCCATCCTAAATATACCCCTTTTCAATTACTACCTAATCTTTATTTATAGTATATATTCCATGTGTGTCGATAATTCTCTCCTGGACCACCACAGTTCTAGATAGCACAGCCTGCTCAGTATGCTTGTATTAAAGACCCACTGAGAAGAGAAAGATTTTTCAGAAAATGTATTTCTGGTTGCTTTTTTAAAGAAAAATCAGTGTTAGATCATCTCCTTCATAAACCACAAGTTATCTAGGAATTTTACCCAGCTAAAAGGGAACTTTTCTTCAATTTCTTTCTTCTCCTTTGGCGATTCAAACCCATAACTGCCATTACATAGCAGTATTATTTGAACATCGGTCTAAGGGAAGAACAGGTACACTATGATTGGGAAGAACTGACTAAGATTTCTACTTCTCAGCTGACTGCTTAATCACTTAAACCTTATATAATGCATAAATGGTTTAAAATGACTAAGCCCTATCTACTTATTCTAAAGAATGCTTCAGATGGACTGAAGTTTTAGATTTTGATCCTGAATGATGAATATGCTTGCCTTTCTGCTATGACTATAAAAAGTCTCCAGAAAGGGTAGCTACTTAATTGCTACCTCTAATTTTGGAATGCATTCATTTTTAGGGATAGAGCTGCTGCCAAAGAACACAGGTAGCCCAAGTACCTAAGTGTATGTTTTGGATTGCATTCAGGTGGCAAACCTGCTAACACTTTTGTGTTTTGTTGCCTGGCTTATAGATACCAATTAGCTCTGGACTGAACGGATGAGATGCAGCTTTCAGGATGAATTTTTAATAAATACATTGTTTCTAGATGATTCTGTGAAGATTTTTAAAGACACAAATGCCATTTAGGTGTCCTGTTCTGAAAACCTTTCAAAGCAAAGTCGATTTTTGTTTTAATGAATGTCATTTTCCTCTGAGATCCAGTAAGCAGAGTTTGATCACAAAGACATTCAATATCACAGTTGCTTTGGAAAGGGTCCACCACTCAAAATGCTGCATGTTTTGTTAGTCTTTATCTTTCTGTTTCCTTGTTCTTCTATTTAGTTGCTGACAAAGCCGCCTACTTGATGGGTCTGAACTCAGCAGACCTGCTCAAGGCCCTCTGCTACCCCCGAGTCAAGGTTGGGAATGAATATGTGACCAAGGGTCAAACCGTGCAGCAGGTAACAAGCAGCTGGTGACTGAGAGCCTCTGTCTTGTATCACTTACTACTTGCACCAGATATCATTTTCCTTCTGCTGCATTCTTCTTTATTTTAGGTGAACAATTCAGTGGGTGCTCTGGCAAAGGCTGTCTATGAGAAGATGTTCCTGTGGATGGTTGTTCGCATCAACCAACAGCTGGATACCAAGCAACCCAGACAGTACTTTATTGGTGTCCTGGACATTGCTGGCTTTGAGATCTTTGATGTAAGGATTCCAGGTTTGAGAACTGCTTTTGCAGGGGGACGTTGCTGTATCAAAGAACTTAGAAATAATATTCTTGTGAAGGTTTAACATGCTAATCATTGGCAATTTTCTGGAAAAAAATCCTTCATTTGCTTTTGTAGCACAGAGCAAAATCCTCAGAAGCTTCATCAGTATAAGAACTGAGTTATGTTGTTTCTGTAGAAGAAGCCAATAGAATTTTACATGTTGTAATATTTTAACAGTTTGAGCTTAATGTTAATGAGTTTTAAAATCCAAGCATAATTACAATAATTTTATATAAGAACTTCTAGGGTAGAACTAGGATTTGGAGATCCATTGAGAAACATATAACAGTTTAAAGAGCTGGAAATTGTTTAAAGACCAAAGAAGGAACAGATAAGTTTTGATCAATAAGGAATTGATAAGTTTAGATAAGAATTGGTAAGTTTAGTTAACTCTTGATCAGAGATATCAAGTGTTTAAAAATTGGACATCAGGGCATGCACTCATCTTTTTGGCTGAACAAAAAAATGCCAAAGTACCTTATGAATTTTAGGAGATTCACTAGGAATATCTGCTCTGGAAAAATTTCCATTTTCATTATGTAGGTGTTTCTTTGGGGAGCTGCATATAGTTCCTGCTATGGTATGGTCCTGATAATACTGTTGTGTTTTAATTTGGGAGTCTTATAAAGGGTTGAAAATGACTAAGAATTGTGCATGTTGACAATGGGTGATTGGTGTTTTTTTTTCTGCTGGCAAGTTCAACAGCCTGGAGCAATTGTGCATCAACTTCACCAATGAGAAACTGCAACAGTTCTTCAACCACCACATGTTCGTGCTGGAGCAGGAGGAGTACAAGAAGGAAGGAATTGAATGGACATTCATTGACTTTGGGATGGACCTGGCTGCCTGTATTGAGCTCATTGAGAAGGTAAATTTTTGTCTCGTATTTTCAGGAACTCATTTGAAATCGGAATGGTCAGATGTTATTCGAAAAAAGGGAGTCTTCCATGGGCAGTTTCCTGCATTCAGTTTTAGTTGTTGAAATATCTCTTGATCTGTACTATTGCTTATCATGCACTAGAGATAATACAAGTCCACACATGGCTATGGAAGTCATTCCACACACACCTTCTCTGTGTGAAGGGTATCTTCACTTGTTTAATTAAATAACTTTTTTTTTTTTTTTTCAAAAACAGAGGGCAGCTCCCAAAGTAAAATAAAAATATTTTCTTAAGGTTCTGGAATAAAATTATCTGGACAATACATTTCTTTTCTAGATGGTTCATAGCAAAGTAAAAACAGGACAATACAGTCAGTGCATGACTTCTGAGTGCTAGAAACTGAAAGAGATTACTTGTAGTTTTGTATAATTTAGGGAGTTGATTAAAAGTACAAAAACTGAAGTAAATATACAATGGACATATTTGTGAATGACAATTTAAAACATAATCTTTCTCCTCCTCATTTTTTAACATGGTTTTTGGCATAAAAAACATTCCTGAATCACTGAATCACAAGTGTGAGTCAAGCAGGGGAATCTTTTAAACTCACTTTTTAGAAAGTTTTCTTTATGGTGAGGGTTGGTTTCTCAGCTTCCTGTATTTTACTATATTTCCTGCAAGACCAAGTTCTTATCATTTTATTCAATAGACATTCTCTCTTGCATATTGTACTATCTTCCAGCCCATGGGCATCTTCTCCATCCTGGAAGAGGAGTGCATGTTCCCCAAGGCAACGGACACCTCTTTCAAGAACAAGCTCTATGACCAGCATCTGGGCAAATCCAGCAACTTCCAGAAGCCCAAGCCTGCCAAAGGCAAGGCTGAGGCCCACTTCTCCCTGGTGCACTATGCTGGCACGGTGGACTACAACATCACCGGCTGGCTGGAGAAGAACAAGGACCCCCTGAATGAAACCGTCATTGGGTTGTACCAGAAATCATCTGTGAAGACACTGGCCTTACTTTTTGCCTCCTATGGTGGAGCAGAAACAGGTTAGCTTTCCAAAATTCTTTTTTTCCAACATTTGTGATATGTAAAGATGCAACAAAGAAGATAATATTAAAAAATCTTTTTGTTTTTGAAGAGGCTAGTGGTGGTGGTGCTGGTGGTGGAAAGAAGGGTGCCAAGAAGAAAGGTTCTTCTTTCCAGACAGTCTCAGCTCTTTTCCGGGTAAAGTATGAATTTCATTACCTGTAAAGTGACGTGAACATACTTTCAAACGTGAGCTATCTAAACTCCTGTTTTTCTCACTACATTGGTTTTATGATAAAACAATAATAATATGAAATGAGCAGAAGTTATTCACTGCCTTTTCCTGTTAATTGTCTGTTCCCTTTTGGGCTTTGTTTCAAGCAGTCTTCAGATGACCCCCTGAATTTCTTTTAAAAGCTCACTTACATTCTTTGTGAAAAAAGTTTTTCAGAATCTAGGATGTAATATAAATATTAATCCCATAAAGGCATGTGTTAAAATTGTTATGAAGTAATACATTATTGCCTCTAGAAAAAGTGCAGAATTTTAAGCTTTCTTTTTATGGGAATACCTAAGTATATAGAAGGTTTGACTAAAACAAAATATTGGATTTGAAAGCTTCTTCCTCCTAATATTCATTACATTAGTTCCTTGGCATCTAGTTACAGAGTATAGAGAAGCAAATTTTCTTAATCTATCCTGCTATACATGATCCCACAGGAGAACTTAAACAAGCTGATGACCAATCTACGGAGCACTCACCCCCATTTTGTCCGTTGCATCATCCCAAATGAAACAAAAACACCTGGTAAGACACTCAAGCAGAAAGAACTTCCTCTGATACAGCCATTCCCCTCTGCATTGGAAACTGTGGTATTCATTTATGCTCTGAATTGCTAGGTGCCATGGAGCATGAACTGGTACTTCACCAGCTGCGGTGCAACGGCGTGCTGGAAGGCATCAGAATTTGCAGGAAGGGTTTCCCCAGCAGAGTCCTCTATGCTGACTTCAAACAGAGGTAAGAGCACTGCACCGCTCAGCACCATTAAAAGCAATGTTGGTTCATTCATATAGGTTCATTCAGGCTGGACTCTGTTGTAAAAATAGCTATAGGGGAGCTGGTGGGGTTCAGTGGCTAGTGTGTGTTGGCTGGGAAAAAACAGCCTTATCTTCCTCTTTCTCTCCTCACAGATACAAGGTGCTCAATGCCAGTGCCATCCCAGAGGGACAGTTCATTGACAGCAAGAAGGCTTCTGAGAAGCTCCTTGGGTCAATCGATGTGGACCACACCCAGTACAAATTTGGCCACACCAAGGTACAAACCCTCGTTGCCTCACTCACGCTGTGCCTGTGCTTTGCTCTACCTGACAGTGATGTGCTGCAAACATTCCCTTTCTCAAGGTGTTCTTCAAAGCTGGGCTGCTGGGACTCCTGGAGGAAATGAGGGATGAGAAGCTGGCACAGCTCATCACCCGCACACAGGCCAGGTGCAGGGGCTTCCTGATGAGAGTGGAGTACCAGAGAATGGTGGAGAGGAGGTAGACATTCCTCATCTTCAGTTAAAGTCACTGTACTTGGGGGAAACTGCACTCTTCATAGTGAAAATATTCAATGTACATTTTAATTATGCTTCAGGGAATCCATCTTCTGTATCCAGTACAACATTCGTGCATTCATGAATGTCAAGCACTGGCCCTGGATGAAGCTGTTCTTCAAGATCAAGCCCTTGCTGAAGAGTGCAGAATCTGAGAAGGAGATGGCCAACATGAAGGAAGAGTTTGAGAAAACCAAGGAAGAGCTTGCAAAGTCTGAGGCCAAGAGGAAGGAGCTGGAGGAGAAAATGGTGAAACTGGTGCAGGAGAAAAACGATCTGCAGCTCCAAGTGCAGGCTGTGAGTAACGTTATTTTTATTTTTTTATAGGGAAAATGATTAAATAAGAGCTAACTCTTGTTTCACACTACAGAACTCTCAAATTGCGTACTAAACTGTCTTACAAAATATTTTAAGCTGAATAACATGTAACTAAAGGTAGAATTCAGGCCACATTCTCTCCCTACTCAGTCTCACTACTGCAAAATGGAGTTTAAGCTAAGCAATTATTTTTTAGTCTTAATGCCAACATGTACATATCTCCATGAGAGTTCATGACATAAAGCTATATTGTACTTATTTTAGTGTATTTAGCACAGTGGGGACAGTGATTCAGTTGACCAACTATTCTTCCTTAATTCTGTTCATGAAATGAAGAGCCTAGCGCCATTTCTTATGTCATATTTCACCTGAGCACCTGTGGCTACTGCTTCCAGAAGACCCAAATGCCCATTGCATCCTACAGCACAAGTGCCAGCCTTGTGTGTTTTTCTCCAAAGCAATTTGGCCTCTCGAAACTTTTAGCAATATTTAGGCAATACCCTTAAGTTGAAGTGTCCATTTCAGGGAAAGGGGAATCTTGTTCTAGTGTGCACTGGCTGTGTTGGCTGGGTATGAATCTATAAATTAGTGTTTCAAATACTTTCTTAATGGTGGAGTTATTTACATTTCTCAATACTTCCCCATAAATTACATTCCACATGAAAAAATACAATCACCTTCAAAAGAAGAAAAGGGAAACATCAATTCAATGCAAGTACCCCTCTGACATACCTGAAATAAACAACATGAAATGTAATGGAGCTAGATACAGTATCTGATGTTGAAAAAGGTACAGAAAAAAAAAAAAAACTGGTTAAAAACTAACTCTAAGTTTATAATTTCTAATACAATTGCACAGTAATATTTTCCCAAAAAGAAATACCAAAGTTCTTTTTGATGCACATCTTTTCCTTCAGCCCCAAATAACCTGTGCTGTATTTTCCCACCAGGAAGCTGATGCTTTAGCTGATGCTGAAGAAAGGTGTGACCAGCTCATCAAAACCAAAATCCAGCTGGAAGCCAAAGTAAAGGAGGTGACTGAAAGGGCTGAGGATGAAGAAGAAATTAATGCTGAGCTGACAGCCAAGAAGAGAAAACTGGAAGATGAATGTTCAGAGCTGAAGAAAGATATTGATGACCTTGAGTTAACACTGGCCAAAGTGGAGAAGGAAAAGCATGCCACTGAAAACAAGGTATACACACAGGGAGTCACATAAAGGGCCAAGATATCACTGTTCCCAGAGTAACATCTTGCTACCATAAAATATGTTGGCTTTGGAAAAATTTGAGCTATGCATTGTCTGAGCATCCAAATGATATATGAAACACCTGGCAAACATTGCAAAGGGAAAATGTCACTGCACAAGCATACATGATTTCTACCAAATTTTGATACTTGTTCATATTTGTAGGTGAAAAACCTCACAGAGGAGATGGCAGGCCTGGATGAGACCATCGCCAAGCTGACTAAAGAGAAGAAAGCCCTCCAAGAGGCCCATCAGCAGACACTGGATGACCTGCAGGCGGAAGAAGACAAAGTCAATACCCTGACCAAAGCCAAGACCAAACTGGAGCAGCAAGTGGATGATGTAAGCCCACAGATATACAGCAAGAAGAGGACAGGTATGGAGTTAGAACTGGCTGCTGGATCACCTATGGTCTTGTTGTGTTTAGCTGGAAGGGTCCCTGGAGCAGGAGAAGAAACTGCGCATGGACCTTGAGAGAGCTAAGAGGAAACTCGAAGGAGACCTGAAGCTGGCCCATGACAGCATAATGGATTTGGAAAATGATAAGCAGCAGCTGGATGAGAAACTGAAGAAGTAAGCATGGTTGAGGGGCACCTGAGTGCTGGGCTGCTGCACTTGTCTTTTCTCTGTGAGCTCTAACGCCTTTTGCTTTGCCCAAAGGAAAGACTTTGAAATCAGCCAGATCCAGAGCAAAATCGAGGATGAGCAAGCCCTGGGCATGCAATTACAGAAGAAGATCAAGGAGCTGCAGGCAAGTCTCTGTCCCTTCCCCTCTCTCACCCAGACACAGTTCAGGAAGGAGGAGGACATGGGTGTGAAGGGTCCCTAATGTTCCCCAGGCGCGTATTGAGGAACTGGAGGAGGAAATTGAGGCAGAGCGAACCTCTCGGGCAAAAGCAGAGAAGCATCGGGCTGACCTCTCAAGGGAGCTCGAGGAGATCAGCGAGCGCCTGGAAGAAGCAGGAGGGGCTACCGCAGCTCAGATGGAGATGAACAAGAAGCGTGAGGCAGAATTTCAGAAGATGCGTCGTGACCTCGAAGAGGCCACGCTGCAGCACGAAGCCACGGCTGCCACACTGCGGAAGAAGCACGCGGACAGCACAGCTGAGCTTGGGGAGCAGATCGACAACCTGCAACGAGTGAAGCAGAAGCTGGAGAAGGAGAAGAGTGAGCTGAAGATGGAGATTGACGACTTGGCCAGTAACATGGAGTCTGTCTCCAAAGCCAAGGTATTGACAAATATACTGAAAACAACTTGAAAATAAATAATGTTGAAACATATATTTTTAAAATATGGTCATTTACAGTATAACCCTGTCTCTGTATGGAACTGTATTTCTAACCCTCTAACACCAATGGGCAGAATATAGCTTGCAAATTTGTTCACATTTTTCTGGTGAGAATCTTGCTGTTCAGAGTCAGGAGGAGTCCAGATGCTAAACTTCTTTTGTTTTCTGTGATCTCCACAGGCAAATCTGGAGAAAATGTGTCGCACATTGGAAGACCAGCTGAGTGAGATTAAGACAAAAGAAGAAGAGCATCAGCGCATGATCAATGACCTCAATGCTCAAAGAGCTCGTCTGCAGACAGAATCGGGTAAGACAGCCTTCTCTGTGCTGTTGAACAGTAGAGCATCCGAAATCAGTTTGTTTGCGTAACGGATAACAATAAAAATATTTCCTTTCTGTTCACTTTCCTAGGTGAATATTCACGGCAGG